AGCCACCGAGAGAGCATCATCCTCATCGCACACCGACAAAGGGACCGAGACCGGTCGGGCCATCGACTGGCCAGTACCAGCCTGAAGGTCATGAAGGAGGGTCCGCAACTGAGCCAACTCCACAGAAAGCGAATCGACCTTCGAAGTCAGAACCCCGCGACCAGAGGACTTCGACTTCTTCCGCGGAGGGTCATCACCCCGGGCGCTCTCACGTTTGCGACCAGGGGGTCGGTCAACCAACAGGGCAGACTCACAGTCCCCAGAATCGCCACTGAAATGTCCGTCCAGGGCCGACAGGCGGGCCACGCGCACCGGCCAGGGCATTACCGCACAATCGGGACATGCACGCTCGGTTAGCGCCTCCCGCAGGTGGCCCACACCCAGACAGGAGGGACACAGCACATGGCCATCGTCCTGCTGCATCGGGGCCAGACAGGACTGGCAGGCCAACGGCTCAAGCATCCCAGCGAGCTAACGCGCAGGAGCAGTCGCCGCCAAGTACAGGGGCACTCCCGGTAGGGTCAGGTCGAGCAGAGACGCCACTAGCGACCCACCGAACGCCTCACAGGTTCAGGGAACAACCAATACAGCAGGGTCAGGTCGAGCAGAGACGCCACTAGTGACCCACCGAACGCCGTACACGTGCCGGGAACAACCAATACAGCAAGGTCAGGTCGAGCAGAGACGCCACTAGTGACCCACCGAACGCCGTACACGTGCAGGGAACAACCAATATAGTAGGGTAGTGCGAGCAGAGACGCCACTTACAACCCGCAGAAACACGTGGAACACGCGCAGGCAACAGCCAATTCAACAGGGTCAGGTCGAGCAGACACGCCACCAGTGACCGACAGAAATTAACAAATAATTAACAAGGTAATTAACAAGACACAGGGTCAGGTCGAGCAGAACGCCACTGGTAACCCACCAAACACACTCTGAATACGCGCAGGTAAACAGCCAGATAACAGGGTCGGGTCGAGCAGAAACGCCACTAGTAACCCCCCAATTATAAGAAGTAACGAAAAACAACCGAGCACAAGTCACGGCGAATAAGCAAAACAAACACTCACCAGAGGCAAGCAGCGCGGCTTGCGCAGCCCACGGAGGGCGAGAAACTCGCAGCACCGACCGACGAGCAGTCACGGGGCTACAGGCAGCAAGCGGCGCGAACAACAGGCACAAACAGCTATCAGTTAGCTTCAGCCAGACTCATACAACCTGCATGCGAGAAAGTGAAAAGGGACTGTGCTTCCGGTGTCACGTGGCTTTATAGACTCTCGCGTGAGCTACCGGAGGTCACGGGTGACTTTGTTGTTATTTGACTCTCGATCTGTGCATGCGCGAGGATGATCATCCAGTGCTTAAGCACCGCCTCTGGCGGTCAGGAAGGATGAAATAGAACTGTGCAGTGGCGCTGCTATCGTTAGCATTAGCTTTTTGCTGATCACGGAGAGCGTAGTCTGTTAGCTTGGGTTGTTTTGCCTTTTCGTTGACATCCTGCGGAGTTTTGATCGCTTTTGGAGGCATCCTTGAGAGTTAGGAGTAATGATAAATCACATTTAGCATCTAAGAAAAAAGTTTTGTATCAGAAAGTAGCACAAATAGCGGAGCGGAGGAAAACACGTCTTCTCACATGGCCGCCATAACCGGAAGTCTCATTGTACGTGTTTTTAGTTGTAGGGGAAACCGGAACACACGAAGGAAATCTACGCAGACGCGGAGAAAACATGAAAACTCTACTCAGAAAGGCACTGACCGGGATTCAAGCCCAGGACCTTCTCAGAATGCTAGCCAGACTGCTGCTCAAAAGAAACAGAAATAGTTCCACTTCTAACAGACTCCAATTCTCTCACAATAACCTCCTGGCAACAAAAGAGCCAATCAGGAGCGGCGCTGGTCTGTTCCTCGCAATATTCACTGCTGAAGGCTCCTGATTGGACAGTTGTTAGGTCATATTTGGATTTACAAAGACAACATCACACATAAACAGCAGGATCACAGTCCAAACACAAATGTTTCTGAGCTGGAAGTCAATAGGAGCCAGAGAAAGGAGCCAAACTTTACCGTGAGCACTTCGTTGTTGGGCTTCATTGAATTTGCGGTTAGCACTGAGCTAGCCGGTTAGCACAGAACTAGCGGTTTAGCATTGAACTAGCAAATTAGCATGATCTAGAATGAGCACCAGTCCATTGTATCGCTTTATGTTTTGTCCTAATGAACATCAGCAACAACAACTCTGACACTTGTCCCTGTCCCTGCTGAAGATCTGCAGCCCCACAGCCTGATGCTCCCCCCCCCCTCTCACACTGGGGCTGTTGAGCAGTGTTGGTGTGTGATGTCTGTAAACACTGCTCTCTTTCTCTCTGGTCTCTCTCTCTCTGGTCTCTCTCTAGTCTCTCTCTGGTCTCTCTCTCTGGTCTCTCTGTGATCTCTCTCTGATCTCTCTCTGGTCTCTCTCTGGTCTCTCTCTGGTCTCTCTCTCTGGTCTCTCTCTCTGGTCTCTCTGGTCTCTCTCTCTGGTCTCTCTGTGATCTCTCTCTGGTCTCTCTCTGGTCTCTCCCTCTGGTCTCCTTCTTCCACAGAGCAGTTTCTGAACTATGTCTGGCGCTTGATGAATTCTCAGTTTAAAGTGTTTGGAGCTGGAGGCGGTTTTTGTCTCACGCTGCACGTTTTGGATCAGACCAGAAGATCCTCTCTGGCCTCTCTCTGGTCCCTCTCTGGTCCCTCTCTGGTCCCTCTCTGGTCTCTCTCTGGTCTCTCTCTGGTCTCTCTCTGGTCCCTCTCTGGTCCCTCTCTGGTCCCTCTCTGGTCTCTCTCTGGTCTCTCTCTGGTCTCTCGCTGGTCTCTCGCTGGTCTCTCTCTGGTCTCTCTCTGGTCTCTCTCTGGTCTCTCTCTGGTCCCTCTCTGGTCTCTCTCTGGTCCCTCTCTGGTCTCTCTCTGGTCTCTCTCTGGTCTCTCTCTGGTCTCTCTCTGGTCCCTCTCTGGTCTCTCTCTGGTCTCTCTCTGGTCTCTCTCTGGTCTCTCTCTGGTCTCTCTCTGGTCCCTCTCTGGTCTCTCTCTGGTCTCTCTCTGGTCTCTCTCTGGTCTCTCTCTGGTCTCTCTCTGGTCTCTCTCTGGTCTCTCTCTGGTCCCTCTCTGGTCCCTCTCTGGTCTCTCTCTGGTCCCTCTCTGGTCCCTCTCTGGTCTCTCTCTGGTCTCTCTCTGGTCTCTCTCTGGTCTCTCTCTGGTCTCTCTCTGGTCTCTCTCTGGTCTCTCTCTGGTCTCTCTCTCTGGTCCCTCTCTGGTCTCTCTCTGGTACCTCTCTGGTCTCTCTCTGGTCTCTCTCTGGTCTCTCTCTGGTCTCTCTCTGGTCTCTCTCTGGTCTCTCTCTGGTCCCTCTCTGGTCTCTCTCTGGTCCCTCTCTGGTCTCTCTCTGGTCTCTCTCTGGTCTCTCTCTGGTCCCTCTCTGGTCTCTCTCTGGTCCCTCTCTGGTCTCTCTCTGGTCCCTCTCTGGTCTCTCTCTCTGGTCTCTCTCTGGTCGCTCTCTGGTCTCTCTCTGGTCTCTCTCTGGTCTCTCTCTGGTCTCTCTCTGGTCTCTCTCTGGTCTCTCTCTGGTCTCTCTCTGGTCTCTCTCTGGTCCCTCTCTGGTCCCTCTCTGGTCTCTCTCTGGTCTCTCTCTGGTCCCACTCTGGTCTCTCTCTGGTCTCTCTCTGGTCTCTCTCTGGTCTCTCTCTGGTCTCTCTCTGGTCTCTCTCTGGTCCCTCTCTGGTCCCTCTCTGGTCCCTCTCTGGTCTCTCTCTGGTCTCTCTCTGGTCTCTCTCTGGTCCCTCTCTGGTCCCTCTCTGGTCCCTCTCTGGTCTCTCTCTGGTCTCTCTCTGGTCTCTCTCTGGTCTCTCTCTGGTCTCTCTCTGGTCTCTCTCTGGTCTCTCTCTGGTCTCTCTCTGGTCTCTCTCTGGTCTCTCTCTGGTCCCTCTCTGGTCCCTCTCTGGTCTCTCTCTGGTCTCTCTCTGGTCTCTCTCTGGTCTCTCTCTGGTCTCTCTCTGGTCCCTCTCTAGTCTCTCTCTGGTCTCTCTCTGGTCTCTCTCTGGTCTCTCTCTGGTCTCTCTCTGGTCCCTCTCTGGTCTCTCTCTGGTCTCTCTCTGGTCTCTCTCTGGTCTCTCTCTGGCTTCTCTCTGGTCCCTCTCTAGTCTCTCTCTGGTCTCTCTCTGGTCTCTCTCTGGTCCCTCTCTGGTCTCTCTCTGGTCTCTCTCTGGTCTCTCTCTGGTCCCTCTCTGGTCTCTCTCTGGTCCCTCTCTGGTCTCTCTCTGGTCCCTCTCTGGTCTCTCTCTCTGGTCTCTCTCTGGTCTCTCTCTGGTCCCTCTCTGGTCCCTCTCTGGTCTCTCTCTGGTCTCTCTCTGGTCCCACTCTGGTCTCTCTCTGGTCCCTCTCTGGTCTCTCTCTGGTCCCTCTCTGGTCTCTCTCTGGTCTCTCTCTGGTCTCTCTCTGGTCCCTCTCTGGTCCCTCTCTGGTCCCTCTCTGGTCTCTCTCTGGTCTCTCTCTGGTCTCTCTCTGGTCCCTCTCTGGTCCCTCTCTGGTCCCTCTCTGGTCTCTCTCTGGTCTCTCTCTGGTCTCTCTCTGGTCTCTCTCTGGTCTCTCTCTGGTCTCTCTCTGGTCTCTCTCTGGTCTCTCTCTGGTCCCTCTCTAGTCTCTCTCTGGTCTCTCTCTGGTCTCTCTCTGGTCTCTCTCTGGTCTCTCTCTGGTCCCTCTCTGGTCCCTCTCTGGTCTCTCTCTGGTCTCTCTCTGGTCTCTCTCTGGTCTCTCTCTGGTCTCTCTCTGGTCTCTCTCTGGTCCCTCTCTAGTCTCTCTCTGGTCTCTCTCTGGTCTCTCTCTGGTCTCTCTGGTCTCTCTCTGGTCTCTCTCTGGTCTCTCTCTGGTCTCTCTCTGGCTTCTCTCTGGTCCCTCTCTAGTCTCTCTCTGGTCTCTCTCTGGTCTCTCTCTGGTCTCTCTCTGGTCTCTCTCTGGTCTCTCTGTAATGTGGCCTAGCCGCTCAGAGCAGCTAGGAGCAGGATTCCACAGCCGTGACTCGTCAAACAGCTGAAGGCCACAAAGACACGACTGTTACAGATGTGTCACATTCACACAGCGAGAGGAGAGACACCCCAATGTTACAAGGGGTGTCTAAAGGAGACACCAGAGGTCAGGGATCAAGGGTCAGGGATAAAGGAGACACCAGAGGTCAGGGATCAAGGGTCAGGGATAAAGGAGACACCAGAGGTCAGGGATCAAGGGTCAGGGATAAAGGAGACACCAGAGGTCAGGGATCAATGTTTTACAGATGGAGCACTCAGAGAAAGACAATGGCACCACTGTACCTGTGAGCTGCACCTGTGAGCTGCACCTGTGAGCTGCACCTGTGAGCTGTACCTGTGAGCTGCACCTGTTAGCTGCACCTGTGAGCTGTACCTGTGAGCTGCACCTGTGAGCTGCACCTGTGAGCTGCACCTGTGAGCTGCACCTGTGAGCTGCACCTGTGTGAGCTGCACCTGTGAGCTGTACCTGTGAGCTGCACCTGTGAGCTGCACCTGTGAGCTGCACCTGTGAGCTGCACCTGTGAGCTGTACCTGTGAGCTGCACCTGTGTGAGCTGCACCTGTGTGAGCTGCACCTGTGAGCTGTACCTGTGAGCTGCACCTGTGAGCTGCACCTGTGAGCTGACCTCTCTCTGGTCTCTCTCTGGTCTCTCTCTGGTCCCTCTCTAGTCTCTCTCTGGTCTCTCTCTGGTCTCTCTCTGGTCTCTCTCTGGTCCCTCTCTGGTCTCTCTCTGGTCTCTCTCTGGTCTCTCTCTGGTCTCTCTCTGGTCTCTCTCTGGCTTCTCTCTGGTCCCTCTCTAGTCTCTCTCTGGTCTCTCTCTGGTCTCTCTCTGGTCTCTCTCTGGTCTCTCTCTGGTCTCTCTCTGGTCTCTCTCTGGTCTCTCTCTGGTCTCTCTGTAATGTGGCCTAGCCGCTCAGAGCAGCTAGGAGCAGGATTCCACAGCCGTGACTCGTCAAACAGCGAAGGCCACAAAGACACGACTGTTACAGATGTGTCACATTCACACAGCGAGAGGAGAGACACCCCAATGTTACAAGGGGTGTCTAAAGGAGACACCAGAGGTCAGGGATCAAGGGTCAGGGATAAAGGAGACACCAGAGGTCAGGGATCAAGGGTCAGGGATAAAGGAGACACCAGAGGTCAGGGATCAATGTTTTACAGATGGAGCACTCAGAGAAAGACAATGGCACCACTGTACCTGTGAGCTGCACCTGTGAGCTGCACCTGTGAGCTGCACCTGTGAGCTGTACCTGTGAGCTGCACCTGTTAGCTGCACCTGTGAGCTGTACCTGTGAGCTGCACCTGTGAGCTGCACCTGTGAGCTGCACCTGTGAGCTGCACCTGTGAGCTGCACCTGTGTGAGCTGCACCTGTGAGCTGTGTGAGCTGCTGTGAGCTGCACCTGTGAGCTGCACCTGTGAGCTGCACCTGTGAGCTGCACCTGTGAGCTGTACCTGTGAGCTGCACCTGTGTGAGCTGCACCTGTGTGAGCTGCACCTGTGAGCTGTACCTGTGAGCTGCACCTGTGAGCTGCACCTGTGAGCTGCACCTGTGAGCTGTACCTGTGAGCTGTACCTGTGAGCTGCACCTGTAAGCTGCACCTGTGTGAGCTGTACCTGTGAGCTGCACCTGTGAGCTGTACCTGTGAGCTGCACATGTGAGCTGTACCTGTGAGCTGTACCTGTGTGAGCTGCACCTGTGAGCTGTACCTGTGAGCTGCACCTGTGAGCTGCACCTGTGAGCTGCACCTGTGAGCTGTACCTGTGAGCTGTACCTGTGAGCTGCACCTGTGAGCTGTACCTGTGAGCTGCACCTGTGAGCTGCACCTGTGAGCTGTACCTGTGAGCTGTACATGTGAGCTGCACCTGTGAGCTGTACCTGTGAGCTGCACCTGTGAGCTGTACCTGTGTGAGCTGCACCTGTGAGCTGTACCTGTGTGAGCTGCACCTGTGAGCTGTACCTGTGTGAGCTGCACCTGTGAGCTGTACCTGTGAGCTGTACCTGTGTGAGCTGCACCTGTGAGCTGTACCTGTGAGCTGCACTAGTGAGCTGTACCTGTGAGCTGCACCTGTGAGCTGCACCTGTGAGCTGCACCTGTGTGAGCTGCACCTGTGAGCTGCACCTGTGAGCTGTACTTGTGAGCTGCACCTGTGAGCTGTACCTGTGAGCTGTACCTGTGTGAGCTGCACCTGTGAGCTGTACCTGTGAGCTGCACCTGTGAGCTGTACCTGTGAGCTGTACCTGTGTGAGCTGCACCTGTGAGCTGTACCTGTGAGCTGTACCTGTGTGAGCTGCACCTGTGAGCTGCACCTGTGAGCTGTACCTGTGTACCTTTTTCCTCACAGTCATCTGAGTTGAGTTGTTTAATGAGCCCTGTTTTAATGTTTATTTATGTTGCACAAAACCACAGTGAAACATCACCCCCAGATGGTCGAAAGCAGGACTAAAGCAGGTCTAAAGCAGGTCTAAAGCAGGACTAAAGCAGGTCTAAAGCAGGTCTAAAGCAGGTCTAAAGCAGGACTAAAGCAGGACTAAAGCAGGACTAAAGCAGGTCTAAAGCAGGACTAAAGCAGGTCTAAAGCAGGACTAAAGCAGGACTAAAGCAGGTCTAAAGCAGGTCTAAAGCAGGTCTAAAGCAGGACTAAAGCAGGTCTAAAGCAGGTCTAAAGCAGGTCTAAAGCAGGTCTAAAGCAGGACTAAAGCAGGACTAAAGCAGGTCTAAAGCAGGTCTAAAGCAGGACTAAAGCAGGTCTAAAGCAGGTCTAAAGCAGGTCTAAAGCAGGACTAAAGCAGGACTAAAGCAGGTCTAAAGCAGGTCTAAAGCAGGACTAAAGCAGGTCTAAAGCAGGTCTAAAGCAGGTCTAAAGCAGGTCTAAAGCAGGACTAAAGCAGGTCTAAAGCAGGACTAAAGCAGGACTAAAGCAGGACTAAAGCAGGTCTAAAGCAGGACTAAAGCAGGACTAAAGCAGGACTAAAGCAGGTCTAAAGCAGGTCTAAAGCAGGTCTAAAGCAGGACTAAAGCAGGTCTAAAGCAGGTCTAAAGCAGGTCTAAAGCAGGACTAAAGCAGGACTAAAGCAGGTCTAAAGCAGGTCTAAAGCAGGTCTAAAGCAGGTCTAAAGCAGGACTAAAGCAGGTCTAAAGCAGGACTAAAGCAGGTCTAAAGCAGGACTAAAGCAGGACTAAAGCAGGTCTAAAGCAGGTCTAAAGCAGGACTAAAGCAGGACTAAAGCAGGTCTAAAGCAGGACTAAAGCAGGACTAAAGCAGGACTAAAGCAGGACTAAAGCAGGTCTAAAGCAGGTCTAAAGCAGGACTAAAGCAGGACTAAAGCAGGTCTAAAGCAGGACTAAAGCAGGACTAAAGCAGGACTAAAGCAGGTCTAAAGCAGGACTAAAGCAGGACTAAAGCAGGACTAAAGCAGGTCTAAAGCAGGACTAAAGCAGGTCTAAAGCAGGACTAAAGCAGGACTAAAGCAGGTCTAAAGCAGGTCTAAAGCAGGACTAAAGCAGGACTAAAGCAGGTCTAAAGCAGGACTAAAGCAGGACTAAAGCAGGTCTAAAGCAGGACTGAAGCAGGACTAAAGCAGGACTAAAGCAGGTCTAAAGCAGGACTAAAGCAGGTCTAAAGCAGGACTAAAGCAGGAGCATAAACGTCTCTATGGAAACAGAAGACAGGCCACATACGAGTCGGCTCTGTGGAGGGGCGCTGTTATTAGCCTGAGAAGCTAATCTACAGTTAGGTGTGAAGCCTGATGAGTCACTATGTGCCTCTTTGAGCTGAGAGCATGATCCACCCTGAGGAACAGGCTTTGATCTAAACACGGAGCAGCTTTAGAGCCCACTCCCAAAGAGTCACCTGGTGACTCACAGGGCTCTATCTAATATTAAAGATGTACAAACATGTGTTATTGATGAGGCTAAAGTTACAGCCCCCAGCTTTAAACATGTGTTATTGATGAGGCTAAAGTTACAGCCCCCAGCTTTAAACATGTGTTATTGATAAGGCTAAAGTTACAGACCCCAGCTTTAAACACATGTTATTTATGAGACTAAAGTTACAGACCTGAGCTTTAAACATGTGTTATTGATAAGGCTAAAGTTACAGACCCCAGCTTTAAACACATGTTATTTATGAGACTAAAGTTACAGACCTGAGCTTTAAACATGTGTTATTGATGAGGCTAAAGTTACAGACCCCAGCTTTAAACATGTGTTATTGATGAAGCTAAAGTTACAGCCCCCAGCTTTAAACATGTGTTATTGATAAGGCTAAAGTTACAGACCCCAGCTTTAAACATGTGTTATTGATGAAGCTAAAGTTACAGCCCCCAGCTTTAAACATGTGTTATTGATAAGGCTAAAGTTACAGACCCCAGCTTTAAACATGTGTTATTGATAAGGCTAAAGTTACAGACCCCAGCTTTAAACACATGTTATTTATGAGACTAAAGTTACAGACCTGAGCTTTAAACATGTGTTATCGATAAGGCTAAAGTTACAGACCCCAGCTTTAAACACATGTTATTTATGAGACTAAAGTTACAGACCTGAGCTTTAAACATGTGTTATTGATGAGGCTAAAGTTACAGACCCCAGCTTTAAACATGTGTTATTGATGAAGCTAAAGTTACAGCCCCCAGCTTTAAACATGTGTTATTGATGAGACTAAAGTTACAGACCCCAGCTTTAAACATGTGTTATTGATAAGGCTAAAGTTACAGACCCCAGCTTTAAACACATGTTATTTATGAGACTAAAGTTACAGACCTGAGCTTTAAACATGTGTTATTGATAAGGCTAAAGTTACAGACCCCAGCTTTAAACACATGTTATTTATGAGACTAAAGTTACAGACCTGAGCTTTAAACCTCTGGGCGCGTCTCAGTGAAACTTCAGGGAGGTGATCCATGAATAACAAAACACTGAGATCATTAAAGGCTCCGAGAGGAATGTGGCCTGTGTCACCGTGGCAACCACCGCCTGTGTCACTGTGGCAACCACCGGAGGTGTCACCATAGCAACCACTGTCTGTGTCACCGTAGCAACCACTGCCTGTGTCACTGTAGCAACCACAGATGAACCATAACAACCTCAGACTGTATACAGTGCGATCAAGCTAACACGCTAGCTCACTGCAGCCCAATAGGGAAGTGCTCATGGTGAAGTTTGGCTCCTCTCTCTGGCTCCTGTTGACTTCCATCTAAAAGTAGCTCCTCTAGCTCAGTAAAGTTTGTGTCAGTCCAGGTCTGCACCAGGACTGGACCAGGTCTACACCAGGTTTGGGCCAGGTCTGCACCAGGTCTGGACCAGGACTGCACCAGGTTTGGGCCAGGTCTGCACCAGGTCTGGACCAGGACTGCACCAGGTTTGGGCCAGGTCTGAACCAGATCAGTTGAATGGGTGGCAGATCACCAAACGCTCTGGGACTGAAGCTTGAGGCCCGAAGGCCCCTGTTTAAAGCTGATCTCTGTAACTGTAATAAACCCATGTGATGTCACATCTTTAGATCAAAGAAGGACCACCCTCACTCAGCCAATCAGCTCTCAGCCCAAAGCGGCAGATACTGACTCAGAATCTTTCTAACACAAAGTTAAGATGGCTTGCTCTGTCTGATTTGTTCACAACATTCTAGTTTTACAAGACTAAAGTTACAGACCTGAGCTTTAAACATGTGTTATTGATGAGGCTAAAGTTACAGACCTGAGCTTTAAACATGTGTTATTGATGAGGCTAAAGTTACAGACCTGAGCTTTAAACATGTGTTATTGATGAGGCTAAAGTTACAGACCTGAGCTTTAAACATGTGTTATTGATGAGGCTAAAGTTACAGACCTGAGCTTTAAAATGTGTTATTGATGAGACTAAAGTTACAGACCTGAGCTTTAAACAGGATCGTGAGTTTCTGTTTACGTTTCTCTTTAGACTTTTGAAGAATTTGTATTTCACAACGTGTCAAAAACACATTCCACAAGGAGACTCAGATCCAGTCCCAGTCCAGACCCAGTCCATTATACCTGTATGTGCATTTATCTTTTTAAAGATACCATAAAAAGGTACTGAACTTTTTGTTATTCATCCTTTTGGTCTGAGAGTTAGCGTGTTAGCATTGAGCTAACCAGATAGATGTACTGTCCCTTTAATAACACCACTGTGACTGTGAAGTGTTTAAAGCCGAGGTCTGTAACTTTAGTCTCATTACTAGCAGAACAGATTCAGATTCAGATTCATTTTATTTGCCATTTGCAGTAAATGTTTTAGTCGATCGATTTCACAGTGACATTTGTTTACTGTTTTATTTGTTTTATTTTTGTCTTTTAATGTTGTTTTATGTCTGTATTTGTCTGTGCACACTGGTGACTTTTGCTAATGTATTCCAATGTGGTGTTTTTACTGCAAATGGCAAATAAAATGAATCTGAATCTGAACAAACAGTCTTTTAAGAGTAGAATGTTGTGAATAGACAGAGCTCTGACTGCAGACGCTGCTCCCTCCCTCAAAGTAAAGTTCTAGTCTGAGTTCAGAGCTGGAGCCTCTGGCTGCATCCCGAGAGACCGATCCCTCAAACCTTTTAAGATAAGCAGGGAAGGGCCTGGCCAGTACAGTGATGGGAGACCAGGTGCCACAGTGGGGCGGCTGCGACTGTAAAGTGCCGAACTGTGGTTGTGTCCTTAGGCAAGACACCTCCTCCACATTAGAGCAAGTCTGGTATGTGTGCGAGTGAGTGTGTCTGTTTTTTTATTCATGCCTTCTGTTTTTATCTTTGAGATCCAAATTTCCTCATTCGCAACTCCTTGTTTCTCACATGTGATAAAAAGTACTCTGATTCTGATTCTGAAAGGTTGAATGTGTGAGGTCCAGGTCTGAGTCCGGTCTGAGTCCTGGTCTCAGTCCTGGTCTCAGTCCAGGTCTGAGTCCCTTATGGCTCTGTGTGTTTGTCTTTCTGGTCTCTCTCTGGTCTCTCTCTGGTCACTCTCTCTCTGGTCTCTCTCTCTGGTCTTTCTCTCTCTGGTCTGTCTCTCTCTGGTCTCTCTCTCTGGTCTCTCTCTCTGGTCTCTCTCTCTGGTCTCTCTCTCTGGTCTCTCTCTCTCTGGTCTCTCTCTGGTCTCTCTCTGGTCTCCCTCTCTGGTCTCTCTCTCTGGTCTCTCTCTCTGGTCTCTCTCTCTGGTCCCTCTCTCTGGTCTCTCTCTGGTCTCTCTGGTCTCTCTCTGGTCTCTCTCTCTGGTCTCTCTCTCTCTGGTCTCTCTCTCTAGTCTCTCCCTGATACAAAATATAAATATAAAATATAAATAGGATGAAGACAGACTGCTGTGTCTGATTTGTTAATAATAATAATAATAATAATAATAATAAT